CATTTTATAAAATAAAAGACTACTTAGAGGATAGTCAGGCATGGGAATGAGCCGCTGTAATGTCTGCACAGGTCATGTTGACATGTTTGTAACATTAGTTACAATTTTATATACAATTTGACATTACGTTTATTTTTTATTTTTTATACAATGACATAATCACCTATTGTGACATTTTATTTTTTATTTGACATTTTTTTTTATTTATTTATTGACATTTTTATTATTTTATATTATTGTTAGTGTAAGGACCGTGTGAGACTTGCCGTGCTTTTTGATTACCAGTTATCTGCGTTCTGACAGTTTGAGTACTTGCGCGACCCACCCAAATGTTCTTTAGATCGGTATTGTTCGTCGGACAACTCAGCAGCACTAGCTATACTGGTTGCAAACTGACACTTGCGTGCCTATCTTCAGAACGGGTCCACTTAAACTGGTGTGGTTCTTTCCTCAAAAGACCACTACAGAATGAACTTGCACGATTCTCTCACATTATGTTATTTTTACATTGTCTGGACTTGAAAAGAGACTGACCTCTGAGTTTGTTTCGGCATTTCTTCTCAGAGTAGTCAGATAGGAAATGCCGGCTTCATTTAGTTTTTCACATATAAATTGACGTGCAAAAGTGCCGTTTTATGGCCTATTTGCAAAAATAAATTCATTGTTTCATTGTTTCATATTATATATAAATATTATACGTAAGTTTATTACCGAAACATATATTTTTATTTATTTTTGTATAGAATTTATGTAAGTGTATAAAATATATTTGTTTGTTCTATCCTTTCACGGCACCACAGGGTCCCGGACCTTTGGAAGGCGTACGAGGAGCCGAAACCAACTCGCAGAGGCCCGTTAAACAGTTTTAATCTAAATGTGATGGGACATCAGCCGGCAATTATCCCTGTATGCACTATATAAGTGCACCCAAGGACAATCCCCGGTTGATGCAAGACTATTGTGAAATGTGGTAAAAATTGATAGGGTTATGAATATGGGTTGCTATGGACTGGTGGATATGATAACTATGGAAATACTATGGCCCCTGCCCCTGACCAATATTGATACATACGGATAAACAGGCAGGGGGTGACTGGCAAACTCAATTAATGGGCCCCCGGAAACGGCCGCTAGCATGTAGCGACACGGAGGCAACATACGTTGAGCTGCTTGGGGAAGGAGAGGCATCCCACGGCTATCAGAGCAATCCCGGAAGTAAGGTCAAGACCCCTACCAGCACCTTACTGAGATACATCCTTCCCCCGAGTCTCCTTCAACTCCTACTCTTGCGAATCTCCACTCAAGCCAGCCAATTAAGGCAAGAATGAGGTAGGAGGGCTTGTTCTTCATCAGTGTTCACTTTAGCTCGTCACGAGGACTAACCGGAGAGAGAAGAACAAGACACCTCCCGGGAGTCAGGTCCGTGGGGTCGCCACTGCCCAACTGCTCGCCACAAGCTGCCTTGCGGATTAAAATATATGATTATTATACTATTAGTAATATCTAGATTTTGCTTGCTTCTTGCACTACTGTTGACTCTACACTACATCACCCAAAGGTTCAACAACAAACAAACACAACGACAGAAAATGCAGACAGGCAGGCAGTAAGTCCACTTTGTACATAAATGTTTGTGTAAAAGGTTACCATCAAATAAATTAATAAAAAAATATACATATATTATGCAGCTAAAAATATTGCTTCTGTTAATCCCAGGAACTACTGGTTCGATTAGAAAATATTATATTCTTTTTGGATAGTTAATATATTGATAGAGGCAAATCGGCTAAAAAGCTCGGCTCAGAATCCGAGTATCGGGTAAAACCGAATGAGAATATAAATTTTCAAAATTTCCAAAATTGTTCACAGCTTATTAATAAATTTCAGTGGAACAATGTATTTTTTGTGTTAAAACATAAAATTGATATTTCAATAACCCTAAAGGCAGATTGTGATGTGAAAGTGCATTACTTGGTAGCCAGTCTCAAAGGATATTAAAACAATGAATACTTTGCAAAGTTCCCGCTGAAGATTGATGGTTAAACTTCGCTGTACAGTTATATCAAGCGTTCATACGTCTGTTTGTATGGAAACTTCGTTCTAGAACATTACGTTATAACATATTTTACATTTATTATTTGAATAAATCATATAATTTTGTGTTTGCTGGGATAAAAGGACACGTGTATAGAAGACATCGATTATAGTCAGTAATATGAAAACATGATTAAATAAAATATTATTTTAAATACGTATTTTTTTTTTATTTGATAGGTCGGCAATTACCTTATGGTAAACAATCAGCGCCGCCTATTGACACCTGGAACAACAGAGGCGTTACGGGTGCGTTGCCGACCTTTTGGGGATTAGAAATTTAGGAGATTTAGGGATTGGAGAGGGATTTGGGGCGGGGAAAGATTGGGCTTCCCGTAACCTCACTCACACGGCGAAACACAACGCTGTAGTTGTTTCACGATGGTTTTTTTGTAAGGCTGTGGTATCAATCCGATCGAGCCGGCCCATTCGTGCCGAAGCATGGCTCTCTTACACTATATATATCCATATTACTTATTTCATCAATTAATTAATTAGTAACAATAAAATTATATATAAAAAAAATGCTTGATCCTGGTCATAAAGTTTAGCCTGGGCTTTTTCAAATTTTTCTCACCCATGGTAAGGCGAGAGGGAGCGTTAGACTCTTTTTTAATAAAAAAACTCTTTCAAACCGAAGCCAAAAACAGGATGATTTTCGCTTTCCAAAATACTGATCATAGGATAATTTAGCAAAAACAAAAACACACCAAATGTATGAACATAAGTATCAAGTAAGAATTTTCAGAAAGGCACATTTATGAACCTCGCAACAAAAAAAAATTAGACCAATAATAATAGTTTGAATTGATAGAATGGATTTTTTGTAAAAACTTCCTTGAATGTTGCAGTTGATGAATATTGTATATAAAATCCTCTTAGGATATTAGGAATTACAGATTGCTCTAAAATGGATAAGGCAATAATGCATATTTTGATGCATATAATATTTAAGCACTATAGTGTATTAGACCAGCTATTATTGGCCCGCATTGTCAGGGTAAAAAAAGCCCATTCGTTTAACCAATATTATAATCTAACTTTATAAACAAATTCATTCCGACCCATTCAGTGGTTATTATTATTTACCCGTGCTTAAAAACTATATTTATTATTGTTCATATCGTTATAATATTTTTGTGGCAAACCAGCGGACTCATCACCTGATGGTCATGTCGTAGTGCGTGTTTTCTCGGAGTCAAGGATGTAAGGATTGGGGATGAGAGAAGGCGAAACACACATACGTATGACTTGGAAAACGTCATGTTGGTTTTGGACCCTTACATTCATCTATGGAAAATTTCCAGGCTTTTGCAACACTATTTCCATTGAAGCATACACATAACTAAAGACTAAAGGAAAATGTATTTTTGCAAGTTATTATAAAACTATCAGTAAAGTAGATCGAACACCACGGCAAGTTGTGACGAGTACAAGGCAGGGATGTCGCGCCGCCGGTGCACGCCGGGACCGACCGACAGCCAGCAGAAAACACACAGACATTATACTAGATTATACGGAACGAAATGAATAAATAATGAAACGTCATGTATCTTCTGATTGATTTCAATAACGACGTACAGTAATAAACAAAACTGTTCTGTGTTCCTTTTATGACTTAACGAGTTTGAATAATGTAAATTCAAAATTTTATGTACCTCTTCATTTGTCGTCTTCGTAGGAACTTTATACACTGCACAGTTTATAACGTAGTTAGTTACGCATTATACTCGTATTTCCAAGGTCAGTTAAGGTCAAGAAAAATTGAAACATGAATATTAGTCAAAAAATCGCTTTACATAAATTGTATAACTTGCAGACTTGTGATCTATTCTTGACCAATCAGCTGAATAAATTTTTCGAAAGTCTGCATTAAGTAAACATCGAGAAATCTTCTGAATTCAAAGACGTCCCGAGCCTAGTTCGGCCTGAGTCGAAATCAATAATGACATAACAATACAGTAAGCTTGTAATGCGCCAATAGCCGTCGTACGTGAGCCAATTGCGGATTACAGCTCCGAGGGTAGTGCACGATTTTACACACAATTTCAATGCTCAAATTTACCAACGGCCGAAGAAGCTTCGACCGTTGATTTGAATGGAACATGTTTGTTGTTCGTCCATTTTATTTGTGCTATGTTCTCCTAGTCATTTCTGAATATTAAATTAGCTTGTCACTGATATAAACACGAATGTTTTTAACAATAATTATATTCTCAAACACATGAAAACTTAAGACCAATCAGCTAATTAGACCCAGCTTAAGTAACTTCACAAGCCATCGACGCTCTTTATGTTTATTTATATCGAGAAACCTGTAATACATTAGACAAGTACAACATACAGCATCGCAGCTCCAACAAATAGTCACTATTCGAAATTTCGCTTAGTCCATAATGGAAAACGAGCTGGAAGCTGTAAGCTTGTAATACGGCAGTAGTGTACGTGAGACAATTGTGGATTACGGCAAATCCCCACTGATTTTACACGCAATTGCTCGGATTGAATCTGAGTGAGCAATATCGTCGGCTGGACAATCAACTGGGAAATATCTGATCGTACTCTTAACTTAAGTCATTTAGTAACTGTAGGCTGTTAAAATTATAATTATACAAAACCGTAAAATATTAACCAATATGGTAGCTACAATTGTTTTTCAGTTTTAGTGAAACGCATAAAACCTAATTATTCTAAACTAATAGAGGTAAATTTTGTAAGTTTGTATGTAAGGGGTAATCTTTGGAACTGCTGGTCGGATTTTCAAAATTCTTTCACTGATATATATATATATAATGTTTTTGAGTGCTATAGACTGTTATACTTGATTTGCTTACTTTAGTCGAGCTATCACTTTAAACGTTGCTGTTTTGAAAATTAGTTAGCGGTTTCTCTATCACAGTACTTACATTCAACATCAACGATGATCCTCTTGGAGACAGAAGGCGGGACCGCATTGGTGGCGATGCAGAGGTACGCGCCCATCTCCGTGCGACTGATGCGTTGAAGGCTCAGAGTGTCTCCTTCATACACTGTCACTGAAAGAGATTCAGATGTTAGTATACAAGTAAACATTACAAAAACAGATCAGATAGGTGTATTAGTTGTCTGTACAAGCAAAAAGGTTTTACTGGTAAATAATGTTGTAGTAAGTAAGTAAGTTGTTGTTTGTCAGAAATAATTATACCTTATGCTTATGATCTTAATTGATTAATATACAATTGAGTAGTTCCAAGCAAGTAGGTAACAAACCTAATAAATACAATGAATTATTATAAAAAACTTGCTTTAATTTTATGATTAGACGATTATTTTTTTGCAGAAAATGTTCAGACGACATTATAAGGAGCCGTTTACATTTTTTTAAACTAATGTTATGCAAAATATAATAAAAGGTACTGCTATAGGTTCAATACAATAACGTATGTGAATACAAAAAAGAGGACGAACTACTAAAATAAATTTGTGAATTTTGTTGGATCGCTTCTACTTCACGCACTTTATAGAAATCATACCATCACTGATGATTTAAAAAGTTATGTCAAAGTACTTTCCTTTAACCGTACTCTAGAAAACGTGACGGATAATATTATTTACAAGCAAAAACAATATAACAAAATTATTTTACTAACAAACTAGAATAACAATATTCCGAAACACAATGAATATTTGAATAGTTTGTAACTTTTTCATGGAAGAAACTGTGTGAATTATCTAGGGGAAGCTGTGCCCTAAACTTAGAAGATTAGCGATTTTTATTGTGAAACTTGTATGCCAGAAAAATATTTTTATTGATCAACAAGAAAAAATAAAAATAATCTTTTTTTTATTTAAAAGTAAATGATAGTCAATATAATATAATAATAGTATAATGTAAAGAGTTTCGAATGTTTATGAGCTGTGTAACTTGTTTTATTTTAATTTTTTATTTTGTTATAAACTATTTAATTTTAACTGTTTCTATGTATGGCAACGTTGTCGCATTAGATGGTGTACCCTTAAATATGGTGTTGTTGGTTAGTTTCGACGATGGTTTAAATCTCGCTATCTCTAGGAAGTGCATCCTATTATAAAATAAACTATAATTCTATAACGATTTGACGAAGGAAACCCCTTGTCACTACACACTCAGGTAATTTAAAACAATCTAGCTTGAGGTATAAAAATTAAAAATTCGTGGCTCGTAGCCGTCGGTGGGCGGCCATCAAGTGGCCAAATGAGTTTTCGTCTATTTACAATTACGGTACGTTTTGTGCGGCGCGCCGGCCAATGAATGTAATGAGAGAACGCTCTCCGCTCCCAACTTGAATACATTAAGCAATTAGTGCTCTCCGTGCACTCGTGTACTTGTTTTTAATGTTTATTTTATTGTTTACATTGTTTATTATACAGCCAGTTAGGTTTGGCAATCAGCTGGCGAGTGCCGCTCTATTCAGACCTGCTAAGCGGTTCTCTATTATATGTTAATGGATTTAGAAATTGTGTAGCACCGGCTCTTGAATTAGGTACCTTACTTTGGTATTTGAAATTATAAATGTCGGTATTCATAAATTGTTAGACTGTATTGCGTTATGATGACGTAGGCCGTAATCACATTTATATACTTGCTTGACGGTTTACACGGAGATCGTATTTTATGTATAAATTTAGAAAATAAGAAATTACTTTTTAATTTACAAAAAACAAAAAAAGGTGTTGAGTTTGTGAATAATACATTTGGAAAACATACATTGAAAAAGGTTGACTTATTTTAAATTCAAGTTTATTTTTTATTGGAACAAAAACGAGTTCTTGCTTCTTGAAATATAGAATAGAATAATGATAAAGAGGTTACTTGAAAGTGGAGGTAAATACGTAAACAGCGCCAGAAGGTAGACAGCTTAAGGGTATAAATAATTTAGTGACAATGTCACAGCTCCACAAAATTAAAATAGAGCTCCTCTAGTCACCCTTTCATTATACAGCGAGCTCGAGCAGTTAACTAAGTGAGACGATTACAGCTTGCTCAGCCAGATGACAGCTGTTCCATGCTGCCTCGTTTTACTTTTATATTCCAATCTCAAGCAAAAACGTGAACTTACATTTTCTTAAATTGCAATGCATTTTGGAATTTTTAAAAAGATTTTACAAACTAAAAATGTTGTTTCCTCTTCCCCATTTTGTGCATTATTGAGGCGACGAGTAAAGTACAGCCCCGGCTCGCTGGCCGCGTCACACTCAGCTCCACATCTAAATGCTTTAGTACAAACTCGGCATGACAACTTTTATTCATCAGCACGGGCGGCCGCACTCGACTCTTCCCATTCACCGCGAGTAAAAAGGGTACACCGCGACCGTATTAATTCAAACAAAAGATTAACACGTATAGAATCGGAAACGGGAGTTTTTCGATGGCGGTCGTAATTAAAACATCCGTCGGAACAAACATACGTGGGACTGACAGGAGGGGAGAGGGTCACACACAATTAGCGACAAGTACCTCTCGACACCACACGTTAATTTTACTCTGTACAAGGAAATCGCTCTTGAAATTAAACTCAATTTTTGGATGCCTTTGTCGGCGCGCTCGGGGCACTCTCAACCGGTTTAATTTGGCGGCACAACTCAGCTTTTCCGCGCCATAATTATCTTTAAACTGGATTTTTTCTTGAAATGAGGCTTAATACCACGCTCAAGTGGCGGCCATATTGGATGTGGGATTAAGGTGCGCAAACTGGCTTTTGTTATCATATCTGCAGTGTGATCATGATGTTCGAGAGGTCTGTTTATGAAACAGAACTCGTATTGTGCATGGGAACATTTTCCTGGATAAATGTTCAGCATTAGTATGATAAGGACTTTTAGGACTAATTAATTGGGCTTTGTTATAAATTCAAGAATGCTCTCTACAACAAGCGTTCATGATAATATTATAAAGTGTGGAGCAAAGCGTCGCTTAACACTCTACGATCACTTTGGTCACTAAATTCTATCTCCACTTTGTAGCAGAATATGCCTAGGATCGAGCGAGATAGTTACACTTTATTAATGGTTGGATGCAATCGTATTATACAGTTGACCATTCACTACCATTACAGAACTATTAGTAAATGCAAACAATATTATGGAGAGAGGGGAGCTAACAATATAATAAGTAGTAATAAAAGGCTAAATGTTGGGGTAACATTATCGAAATGTTTTCCTTATGTTGGAATCAGTACTGTGAGCTGTTTACTTAGCAGGGAGTAACACACTCATATGTAGATTGATGAATAATTTAGTTATTGCGGTACTAGCAAAGGATAGCTGTGAACCACATGATTTAGTAATTACTGATAGCGAATATGATAAATTATTATTGCACGAATCTGTGAGAGCAGTTGTTCGATTGGTGTTATCAAATGTAACTTGTAGGACTAATTTATTGAAAGATTTTCTTGATTAAAGAAGACTTTTTCTAAGATAAAATTTCTTGCTGTGGTTTTTAATATCTAGTTCAACATTTAACTCTATAAAACAAGGAACCATGTTCACTACTGAAAAATACCATTTATCATTTCCATGCTAAAAATAGGACAAAGAAGAAGCCTTCTTAATTCTTAGGACTTAAACATTTTTCCAAAGTAAAACCGCAAGTTAATTAAATTTAATTTAGTGTCTCCAAGGAACAGCCCTGAACTGGATCTGTAGTTGGCAGCAACAGCTGCGCTCTGCGGATTGTTAAAATATATAATATCCTACTCCGACATGTTACTATGAAGTCGTTCCACTCGGATACGACGACTTGTACATGTTTACTTAATGGAATGTTAATATTTTGTCGAAACTCTCTATTATCATACGAACAGTGTATATATGATTGTGTGACAATTAGGGATTAATAATTACCGTGTCTGAAGAAAAATGGTCAGAAAATTATTGTTTTTAAACAACTCTCTTTTATATGTTATGTCGGCAAACAAGCGTATGAATTACCTGAAGGTAGGCAATCATCTTTGGCCACGTACACCATAAACACCAAAGGAGTTACGAGTGCGTTGCCACTCTATTGGGGATTAGGGTTTCGGAGATGTATGTGTATTTGTTTGATTTGTCAGATATTTACACCTCTAATGATATTTTCTTATTGATTTTGCTGCGGGATCAAAACGGAAATGAAATCGTTTGATGTTTTTAACGGAATTTCATACAGTGCATAACCATAAAACTATAATGCATGGCGCTGTATTGTTGAGCGCTTTAATGACACTGATAGCTTAATCGTCAAAAAGATAACAATATTGTACGTTAGAACATTTCTTTTTATTGGGAAATTAAAACTAACTGGATATATTTCACGGTAACTGCGAGTGCTGTGTTGAAGTGGAGACGCGACGGAACAATGAAAAGAAATGTCCCCAATAAAAACGAAATGAACCGTTGAGCTAGTTTTATTGCAATCTATAATGTTAACGCGCACTTTGTAACCTGTTTGAAGAGACTGTTGTACTTTCTATTAATTATACGTGTTGCGAAGTATGTAGACTAAATACGAGGACGTCCGAATTCGACCGTGAAACCCGGTACCATCCTTGACATTCTTGAAATGGCAATACGTACAACAAAGTTACTAGGTTTATATACGCTGATACTGTATTCGATATAATTAGTACTTATTCGAATAATAGCATTAATATAAAAGTAGCCACTCCAAAAGGGCCGGTCCGATAGGAGTAATACCCCAGCAAACTTGCATGAAAAAATACGTATGTTGCATTTCAGCGTCTAAGTGAGGTTACTGAAGGCCCAATCTGTCCCCCTATCTTCAATCCCCAATCCCCTGCCCTTACATCTCTAGTGACTTACAAAAGGCCGTCTATGCCCTTGTTACGCTTTTGGTATTCAAGGGACGATCTCCGGCCACCGTAAGCACGGGCCTGCGATCGGCGAGTAAGGGCAGCTCGCCGCCCGACCAGAACCAGCCCCGAGCGTACGGCGCGTAGCGTTCCGCGCGCGCCTCAAAGAGCCATTAGACCACCACAGACGGGGCCCTAAAGGGCTGATGTTCAGCCGGGGTTGCGG